CTGTCTCTTGAAGAAATGACTCAAACAACAGTTATCTTAAGTATGTTTTGCTTTGTCATTTGTCTATTTTGTATAAGGATGTCTACTAAACTTTCAATAGTCATTTTTAGCAAAACAATCATTGTTGTCATCATTGCTTTACATAAAATTTGTGAGCTCTCTTCAACACCGTTTTTTTAGCTGACAAATGTGCATAGTGTACACTGCAGGTGCACTAATATCTCAATGTTAAGAATCGTTGAAAGTGGGGATTAACATAGTAAATTTGTTAAAATTGTGCAACTTTAAGGCTTAATTCCTCCAGCATATCAACAAAATGAAAATGTCATTTTGTAGAAAAAGGTCTTAGCTTCAAAATGTCATCTCGTTAAATTTATTAAATGTGAACAATTTCCCTTTGTATATGTAATTTTTTTAAATAACTGAATAAATAAATTTTTTGCTCAACGCAAACGAATAAAATAAAAATATTGATATAATAATAATATGACTATGTTGATGCTCCGAACGAATATACAGATACCTCACATTTGAATGTAACGTGTAAAGCCAAATCATACATAGAACTTCATTTCGGCACTACATGCCTCGACCCTCGAATTCGAATGCAACCATTTTTTGGGGGTGGTGGATCTATTTATATGTTTTGTTGTAATTTATTAGGCTATTGGATCAATGCACCATCTGCTATGAAATAGTCTATTTTTATCAATGGTTGCATTATTGATCATGAATTCATGATAGGATGCTAAGATACTTTGCATCCAGTGTTAATTTTGATGCTCCGAACGAATATATACGTATGTGATTGAGTCGTATAATTTTATAATACCATGACACCAAAGAAATAACATTGCACTATAATGCTAATCTATATTTCACGAAACTCGCTGTTACGTTTTCCTTTAAAAACTTGTTTTTCTTTGCGGAGAACTGAACGACATGTAACAAAATTTTTTCGTACAACATTTTTTTGATTTCCTTCAAGTTTTTCTAACAGGATTAATTGATAAGGATGTAAATTGAAAAGCGAAAAGCGAGCCTTTAATTTTTTTAATGTGTGATAACTGCAGCCGAAAAAGGAAGAAGTATGCAACAAGGTACAAAAACATATAAATCCAGTTATAATGAGATTAATAGCTAATAACAATTGCATTATTTAAAGAACAACTTTATCATCACCAAACTCTAACGATCGATTTATCGTGATTCAACAATAAAAAAATTTCAGCATTCTTTGAGGATTGGAAATAGAATACAAAATTAAAACTTGAAAAATATATACCAAAACTTGTCTTATGTGCTATGAAAAGGTCGTTCAAAGTACCAATATTGATAAGCCTATGTTGCTTCAAACTCAGACACTAAAGGCACATTATTAATATTATTGCCAATTTGAATTTTTAAAAAACAGGAATGCTTATAAAAAAATGACCTCATCCGTCGACCTTTACATCAGCTTCCTCCTCGACCTCTGTCTCGATTCCACCACCAGCTTCTTTGCCAACCTCCATACCAGCTTCCTCCCCGACCTCTATCTCAATTCTACCACCAGCTTCCTCCTTAACGGTCTTCTCAGTTTCTTCACCCTCCTTTTCATAATTAATAGAACTAAGAAATTAAAATGGATGTAGATTTATCAAGTATTTTTTCTGAATTGTTATTTTAGTATTAGCAAATAGAATGACAATAATCACCATTTTTTTAATAACTATTACACAAAATTGAAAAATCGAAATATCATTATTGGAAAACAATTTATTTTTGGCAGAGTCCAAGAGGACAAAACGCGAGTGCACTAGCTTTGGCTCTGAAGACATGTTAATAACTAATCAGAGGTATTATTTTTTATTTGTAGCAGAACTTGCTAGTAATTATAAGGTTCCTATCAAGATGATAAACGATTGGTATTGTGCATTTCATAATCGTTATTAAACATTTGGATATGCAATTTTTTGATCAAAGATGTTAAAGCATGCATGCTGAGCGAGAGAGTATCAAAAGGTGAAGATGTTACATTATGGCCTCTAATTGAATTAAAAGATACATATATATTTGACAACCAAAAATTATGAAAAAAATCTTCATTCCAGTGGCAGCAATTAAAGAGTAATTGTAGTTGTCAAAACTGATCATTATAAAAAAAGCAAAGGAGTATTTTATTGGTATTAGCAATTCAAGTATGGATGGGTCCTGCTCTTATCATAATATTTTAAGTTTTCGTTATTATTTGGAAAAACTACCTTTGGAGCTATCTTTTGAATAATTTGTTGTTGTTGATAATGTTGATGTCATTGTTAGTAAAGGCTATATTATTGTAAAAATTACCTGTTGATGTCAATCAAGTATGGGTGATTTTTCAGTTCTTAATGCATGACAAACTCAAATTCATTTAAGATCATTTCTTAGAAAATTGATTATAATTTATTAAATATATAATAACTAAAATACTTTGCAGAAAAATACAATAATAGTGTTAAATATTAAAAAATTTTTGATAATTATATTTTACACATTAATGATAATGATAATAATTAGTGTTCTTGAGTCAAGCTGATTCGCTATATATTTTTTTATATATGGCAAATCTAATAAATAATAATAATAATAATAATAATAAGTTTAATAATAATCTAATTGATTTCATTGCTTTTGTCATCTTCTATTGTTATAGCTGTTGAATTTTCTGTATGATCAATATATTTTTCATCTATTATTGGATCATTTGTATTTTGATGAGATTTAGTTATTGTATTATCATTACTGATTTTAGTGTCAACAATAACAACTCTTTGTTGTTCTTTTTTTGCTATTGAATACAAAACTCCAGAAAAAAATCCTAATTTTTTGAAAAAAATTTTTATTAATAATATTAAAATAAGCCATTTTCAAAGAGAGACAACAACAAGAAAAGAAAGACCAATTTTTGTTTATTTACCAACAAGAACGGCAGATACACTTCCAAAGGTTGTAGGATCACCAAAAAAAATCATTCCACTTGCAGCCATTGGTAATTTGTTTAATGCACCAACCATACTGTAAGTGGTACTTGAGGTAACTCTAATACACCATGCAGAAGCATAAGAAATTGTAAATGCTGATATTCCAGAGAATAGAATTGATATTATTAATGTCTGTCGAACCTCAATCGGACTAATTAATAATTATTATTTAGTTAATTAGTGAATCATAATATAATAAATGATATATATATATATATACATATATATTTGTTAAAGTTCTTACAAATTTTTTTCTAAATTAGTGTAAGACCAATCTTCTATCATTAAACTCATGAAAACCAATAATGGAATTGATAATGTGTTGTTATAATATACAGTATCATAATCCTTAAAATTGGTTGATTTAATTCTTTTTCTCATAAATAAAATAAATGCAGCCGAAGAAATACAATTTAAAGCCATCCATATATAACCAAAATCAATTGAAGAAAATGTATTTAATTTTACTGTATTGACTGAATCGGATGAAGCTGCTATTATTGAAGAAAATACCTATTTGTAGTAATCAATATAATTATATTAATATTAGATATATTTAAAATTAAAGAATAAATAAATAATATATATAAATTATTATACCATCAATAGAAAACTTGTCATCATCAATCTTGTCACTGAGCCCCCAAACCATAATACTTCACCGTAGGCAATAAAAATGATCGTTAAATTCTTGAATATGGTATATATAGGAATTGCAAGAAATTGTAAACTGGAAAATAATATAAAAATTCCAAATTTAAAGAACGAACAAAATGAATATACATACATATATATATATATTAAATCACGAAAATATTTGTTTACCTTTTGCTTCCTGTATAAATCATGGCAACAAGTAAAAATGCAACAGGTGACCCTTTAATCAAACAAATTCTTAATTAATTCAAACCTTTTCTTTCTTTTCTTTGAAAATATATTTGCAAATTTTTCAAAAATGATATTTACAAGTTTTTGATAGTTCAAGATCAATTCCTTTATAAGAAATCAAATTAAATAATTTGAATATTTTTAAAAGTAGAACACAAACAATTGACTATATTTATTTAATAAAATATTAAAAATCTTTTTCAAATAAAATTAAATAATAATATTTTGTAAATTACCTGAACACATAACAAGAGAAAATTCATGTTGAAATCATATCCTGACAATACATATTTATTTGTTACTGTCATAAGAATACTAGAAGCACAATAAGTCATAATTGGTGGTATTCCTGCTGAAAAAATGGTTGATAGTCGTTCTGGTTCTAGTGGTTTTGAAGAATCCGAATTTTTTTTAACCGTTGCCTCATTTTCCTCCTGTTCCTCAATTATAATTTTATATTTACTCATGGTTAATTAAAAAAGACAATAATATAGAAGTTACACTAGATTAAAAAAAAAAAAATGAAAAAGTTTTAATTTTGAAAGAATAGAGAAAAAGAAGAGTATATATATACAATATTAATATACGAGAAAGGTAAATGTCGATCACTATATGATTCAGTAATCTGTAAAAATACCATGCAGTTTACGAACGAGTAAATACAAGTTCAAGAGGTACCCGATATAGAGGTTGCACCAACTGAATATTCCTTCATTCAATCAATTAATTTAATATTAATATTCAAAATATTTGGATCCTCATTGAATTAATTATTCAGTGTGAATGAATATTCTTTGTTAAAAAAAATTTAGATTCATGTTAATCATTTTACATTCTATCAAAACTATCAATCTTTTCTTTCAAAAAAAAAAGTGAATCAAGTCTGAAACCGGTCAAAACCTAACGAGTTAAAACCGGTTAAGTATATATGTATGTAATTTATGATTTAATAAAATTTCTTGTAATAATGAAAAATTTTTATGTCTTCACATTATGAATCAACTGTTATATTATCTCAATAAACTATAATAATACCAAAGCAAATATATGATAATTATAATTACAAAGATTTCAATAGGTAGTAAATCAATTTAGTTTTATCTCACTTTTACTCTCCATTCTCTTGCATTCAGCCGATAATGTTAATGTGGCTTCATTTCATCTACTGAAACAAAGATATACGACGTTTCATGTTGATCCTTTCCATTTATCAGAAATTGCGATAAATTAGTCGATCAAGGTTAACCTTTATTAAGGTCGCGCGTTTACAGGTACACACACAAGTATTTGGTGGTAGCAGCTAACTTTGATAAAACAGGGGAAAAGAAAGTTAAAAATACCTTATTTTATCATACAAAGAAATAAACAATTAATAAATTAATAACCAATACTGTTATTGCCATCACCATTGTTGCTGCAGCAGCTGTTGCAGTTGCTGTTGTTATGAGGTTAACCACAATACAAATTAATTGATTGCTAGTCAATTTATTATTTTTGCGCATTCACATTCACATTCACATTGCTATTGAAATTGTTGTTGGTAATATTAATAGGATTTAAGTTTTGACGAATAGTGTTCGTTGTGATTGAAGTAATGCTAGGTTGTACATTATATAGCATAATTTCATGGTGACTCATTGTTTATTTTTTTATTGATTATTGTTTTTTAACAAATTTTATTTTATTTTATTTTGACTTTTATTTTAAAAATTTCTTTTTAAAAGCTCTTCGCATTATAAAATAATATAAAACCCATTACCAAATTTATACAAGAAAACTCCAAAAATTTCTTTTTTGAACTTGGATGAACATTCTAAAGAAGATATGAAACGATCAAAGAATTATAAAAATTTCCTTTTTGAACTTGGACTATCTTTTCAAGAAGATACAGTTAAATTCATATGCGATAAATTCATAATTCCTTAAATTCATAATTTTTCAGGAACTAGTGCCACTTATACGTATTAAAAATTTATTCGATAATTTCATATTTATATATTTATAGTAATAATAAAATCTCGATAATTGGAATAATTCGATAAATTCATAAAATTTACTATGAATTTAACGAGTTTTGACTGTACAGAACGACCAAAAAAATTTTTTTGCAAAATATGTTACACGTATGTTTTTGATACATAAAGTGAATATTTCAAGCCTTGTATCTTGTTATTGTATTAAGTAAACATGTTCCAAATATATATTATACAAAAAACTCAATTTTGGTCAGAGGACCCCGTGACTGGTTTTTGCTGTAAAACCCTCCATATAATAGTACCATATTTTATAATATCAACAAGCTCATATAAATACACAGTTTAATGTATACTTTAATCCACAAAGGTTTACATATTAGTTTTTTTTTCAGTGAGTGACATATTTTGGCTTGAATTTTCGATATAATCATGTATTTTTCCGCAAAAATCCATCCGCAAATTCATCACCCATAATATTATCCAGAGAACATTATATTTAAGAATTACGTTTACATATAAGATTGATTTATGTATAATTAATTTATCAATTCTCAATTAATTCAATATTATGTTTTCAATAATATTAATAACTATGATTACAATCACTAATCCATAATTCTTCTAATTAATTCATTATAACTATCCTAACATATTTGTTGATACTATTCGATTTTATTGCTACTTATTATTACTCGTCTTTTTTTTTTATCACTCAAGAAGAGCATAGTGGAAATTTGAAATGTTACATTAATTTTTTATATTGTGCAATGTAACTTTACAATACACGGCAAACATTCTGGCAATAAAAAGTAAGTGATAAATTGGATTTGAATTGAATCTGAACTTGATCTTCAATTTAGAGAGGTAACAACTATACGCTGGTGAAGTTTCAGGAGCAATGGGTTCTATATAACTTTTCGTGTAATAACAAACTTCCACTATGCTCTCAAGAAGTAAAAATCTTTTATACCTCCTGAAGTTTCACGAAAATATTAAGAACTACACAGGCAAACTCGATAAGTCGGCCGCATAATTTATATTATCAAGTACTTTAAACAATTGATTACTGCGGGCCGACTTATCGAGTTTGCCTGTGTATTACTATTACTATTACTATTGTCTATTTTATTAATATAAATGTACGGTCATTCCCACATTTTTTTCGTACCACCAACAACGTAGTGAGTGATATTTCTCTCAAGCCATTCGGTGTAAAGAACTTACTCAACCTCTATATTCGTTCACGACGTCTCTGTTCTTCAGGTAATTAAGATAACGAATGAGTGTATACGTTATGTGAACACATTCAAACTATTATTATAATGATACAAAATAAATAAATCAAGTTGATCAATTTAAAATTTTTTTATTGATCCCTTTGACTCAGGCAGCTCAATCTCTTGTATTCAGAAAGGAGAGTTTTGTCTAGGGATGTTCACCGAAACTATTTCAAGCTATCGAAACCTAAACTGAAAACAATCTATAGTACGATTAAAAAAATAAAATTCAAAGAATTAATTTTAATTTTCATTCAATTAAAATTGAAAAAAAAGAATAAAAACATGTAATTTATATCGTTTTGTTAAATTTTCCATTATGTCTAGGAAAATAACGACGAAAAAAAAAAAATTCTGGGAAAAAAAAACTAATTGAACAAAAACGTATTTAATAACCGTGCCTGAAAAGTTTCAATAAGTATCTTGTTTTTAATATTTTTTTTTATAAACAAACATCATTTTTAATAAATTTCCTTTGAAAACTTTTAAACTCGAAATATTAACCTTAAATTTTCGGGTATGATCATTACGTGTGTTTTTCAACAATCATTTTTTTTTGGAAGAGAAAATAAATGGTCGAGATTTTATTTTTTTAATATTAGTTAGTTTAATAAAAATGATAAATATGTGAAACCTTCCATATTTATCGAATTTTCAATAAAAAGGGTTAATACGTTTATCATTTGCCTTATATATCAAAATTGTGTAATTTTTTATGTTAATAAAGTATTAACAAAGTAGATCTTCAGGTAAAAACGCGGTTCAATTTTAATGAATATGGATAAGAATTCTGAATTGGATTCGGAATTGAATTGGATTCAGAATTGAATTCGAATTAATGCATTCTGTTTAGAACTAAAATATTTTTTTGGGAAGGAATTTTTTGTAAAATTTGGGTGTTGAATTGAAAACAAAAGTAATCGTTTTGTTGTAGAAAATGTATTTGTAGATCAAATATGTAAAGGTTCACTTTATTTTTCACTTTATGTAAAAAATTAATCAACTATAAAAATTCTCCTGCCAATATTTTTTTTTAACTATACGTTATTATCTGAGAAATATTTTAATTATAGCATGCAGATTGCAAAAAATCAATCAGTTTTTTCATTTCTTTTCTTAAAAATGTTATCAGGAAACAGAAAACGAATTAAAGAAAATAATTGAGAAGAAATTGCTGGGTGTTGGTGACTATTGCTACTCGCCATCACTCTAGTTTTAATATTCAAAATAAATTATTTTTAATTATAAATAAATTTTTTTCATTTAGTGTCTCATCTCATCAAAAAATAAGGTTGCTGGTGGAACTTCTAACTGAAATATTGTAAATGATTACAAAACATTATATTCTTGTGCTCTTGTCAACAAACAATGGCACAATATCAATATTCCAACCTTATGGACCAAAGAAAACGATAGATGCAATTCAGGAATGAGTTAATAAAAAGAGATGAAGATGATGATGGCGAAGAAGGAGAGAATGAAGAAGTTATTAATAATGGCAAAAATAGTTCTACTTTATTGACTTTTGTGACTAAGGTCAACTTTTGTGTTTCATCCATCAATCAATTAAGACTAAAGACGATTTTGTAGTCTAAAGACAATTTTATCTTTAGGTTTTCAGCTACTCAAATCGACTTTAATGTATTTTATTTTCGTTGATTTTATCAACCTAGTGCTAACCAAATACACCTGATAGCTTGATATACTCTAATCTGGCTTTGAAACAATTAAATGGTTCCATTGCATTGTCACTCAAGTATTAGTGGCCAAGTATCTAATTGTTCCTTGGTCTAAGTATT